GCCATGCGATTTCATGCACTGGGCTTCTAGTGGTTCTGTAACTGGCCTGATTTGCAAAACTATATGGAAGAGATGACTGAATTTATCCCTGGGAGCAAAGGGGAGTTCTTCATTGAAGGAAGAGTACTGAGGATGAGTTTGTTTGATAAAGGCAGATAAAGTGTCTTAAGAAAATTCAGTAATGCAGCAAATTATCATTACCATTAGAATTGAAGGCCCACCTCCCCCATTTACTTGCTAAGTGCTCTCCTACAAATCATGTAACCTTTCTGTGTCTCAGATCTCACATCTGAAAATTGAGTTGATATATGATCATTCTGTTTACAATCCATTCTCCTGCTCCCAAGTTCAAATTAAATATTCTTTGGTCATGGTTTGAAACTTGTAAAAGACTTGATAAATGTAAAGACTTGATATTCTTGTTACTATCATCAGGGATCCTATATAATAAAAGGCTAATATGCAAATTGTCCCCTCGACCGGGAGTTTGGGAATTCAGCCAGGGGGTGGGGCCGGCCTGCCAACCGCCCGTGGCCCCTCCCCCCAGCTGGGCCCCACCCATGCATGAATTCGTGCACCAGGGCCTCTAGTCATGTAATAATGATTACAATTATTCAGTATTCACCTTGAGGAGATACCATTCCAATTGTTTTACATGAATTATCTCATTTAATTCTCCAAACTCCATGGAGTAGTTACTATTAATTTTCCCCTTTGACAGATGAGGAAATTCAGTCTGAGGAAGTTTAAGTAATTTGTCCAAAGTCTCAAAGCTAATACAGGCTATATCCAAGACTGGACCCCTAGGAGCCTGATTTAAAGCCTGCATTATTAAAGAATGTTGTCATGAAAAGTGGCTGCAAGTTCTAGCTAAGGACTCTAATGTCTAATGCAAGTAAGATAGATGTATATCTTCCTTAAAGTTCAGAAGGTCACAGGACAAATGCTCCCTGGAAAGGGCAAAATAGAGTCTTAAGTTAATAAAATTTAAATTGGTTGAAAATGTCAGTTTCTATAAATTGGGTCTATTGAGGCAAGTGTTTCATTTATTTATCTAATCAATCAAAAATGTTCTGATACATGAAGTACTTTTGGGGTGAGAGTGGAGATGAGAGTTTAGCTTAAACTAGTCAATGTATTTCTCTGCACAACGTTCTGGCTGAATACAACATTTTTATGATAATGAAGAAGCTTGGGAAAATAAAAATAAACTCAAAACGCCACCAATTAAGTTATTATGTTCAACTTCTTTCCTTACCCAACCTGACTACCAGAGCTGTTGAAATGCACTGATTCATATTTTCTCTTCTCTCTTCATACCTGCAAGTGCAGTGATGCTTAAGGACCAGTGTTAACTGTAATTAGCAAAAAACAAATGAAAACTATCCAATCAGCCTGGATAATCTATAAACTCTACTAAGAGTTTCTTCCTTTAATATTTCAGATTTCTAACTATCTATGTTTCTTTATGTGGCTGCATATCTTTCTGTTATTTATATTAATAGATAGTCATTTGTAATTTCTTTTTCCCTTACTGTATTGCAGATCCCTAAAGGGTAAAATCTTTAGCATTGCCCAGACTACCATGCTACATCCACTGCTTTGGCATATATTCTGAGTCACATAATTTGCTAACCTGACATGTAACAACATATGATATCATTTTTTTTACCTATTTATTATAACATTGCCTGCAGCAGTTGCCATGCAGTACTCAGGAATATAGGAAAGTTCCACATTAGGAAGTCAGCTGTTTTCGCTTAGACTCCCCTGAATCTTTTTCACCTTTGACTGACACTGAAATAATATATAATTACCTGAATCAGGGATCTGAAGATTCCTGTATATTTGAGTTACTCCAAACTCAGAAACTCTAGATACCTGCTTTTCTCTATGGAAGAAATCAATTCTAAATTGAAATCCTTCAATAGCCCTGAATATGAGCATACAGATTACTTATTCAATCCCTTAGATTTTCTGATAAATAGCCAATGTAATCTGTTTGGCTTAACCTATTCCAAACTCTTTGATCATGAAATTCCTAATCATGGAAATAAATTTGATATCCTAAAAATTAGAAAAACACCTAAAATGATGTTGGCATACTGAAATGGAATAAAACTTGCTTTTCATCAGTAGTGAATTACAGCTTAGTAAATATTAGAAAATATATCATGGTTTCATAACTTTATTTTGACCATAATACAATTTAAGAAGAAAAATATCTTTAACATTGCATCTATATGGCATAAAATATATAATTTGAATGTAGGTGATTTATTGATCAGGCACTAGTGTTAAACAATACACACAAAGTCTGCAACTTCATGAGGCTTACATTTTATAGGCGGGATATAATTAACAAATTTGGGCTTTATTTCAAATATGTCAGAATGAACTCACCAAGACTTTAATAGAAAATACTGGGTCTGGGAGCACTGGAGAAACAACTTAAATAATGTCATGAAAAAATACGTAGCTAAATCCAGAATATGGGACATTCTATAAAACAAAGTTGATCTTTTCTAAATTACATGGGGAGAAATGAAAATTGTTGTAGAAGAAAAGTTTAGGCAGTGGTTCTCAACCTTTTGGCCCTTTAAATACATCATGTGACCCAACCATAAAATTATTTTCGTTGCTACTTCATAACTGTAATGTTACTGTTATGAATCGTAATGTAAATATCTGATATGCAGGATGGTCTTAGGCAACCCCTGTGAAAGAGTCCTTAGACCGCCAAAGGGGTCGCGACCCGCAGGTTGAGAACCCCTGGCTTAGAGCGACAATTAAATGGCATGTTTGAACCTTGATGTTTTCCTGGTTTAATATGAGGTTTACTTTGGAGAGATAGAAGTGTTCTAAAATTAGATTATGGTAATGGTTGCATAACTTTTGTAAATTTGAAGTAAATCATTGAATCTTGCATTTATAATGAAAATTAGCCCATCTGGCGTGGCTCAGTGGTTGAGCATCCATCTATGAACCAGAAGATCATGGTTTGATTCCAGGCAGGGCACATGCCTGTATTGCTGGCTCAGTCCACAGGGTGGGGTGCAGAATGCAACCAATTAATGATTCTCTTTCATCATTGATGTTTCTATCTCTCTCTCTCCATCTTCTTTCCTCTCTGAAATCAATAAAAATATAATTTAAAAATAGAATTATAATCCAAATAAGGCTTTCTATAAAAGATTCTGAGGGGGGCATCAATGGATATCAAATATGGATGGGTATTAGATGATTTCAGAGAATTATTTTTAATTACATTAAGAGTTATAATATTGAGATTATGGAAGATAATGCCTTTATTTTAAAGAGATACATATTGAGGTATTTGCATATGTAGCATTATGAAATCTGTACCTTTCAAATTGTGCAGCAAAATAGAGAAAAAAATAACACATTAATAAAATTTCTTGACTAGGTTGTGCATATATATGTGTTCACTAGAAAAGTTTTTCATGTTTTCTATGTGCTTGAAAACTTCCTAATAAAGAGTTGGAAAATATATTACTTTTTAAGAGGGAGAGAGAGAGAAAGAAAGAGAGAGAGAGAATGCATCGTTGGAGAATATTACACAAGGAGTAATATTATCTTTGTTTTTGGCAATCTTAACAAATTGGACCTGCTTGTAATTTGATTAGGAGAACAGATATCTCTCAATTGTTGAAAACTGAAAAACTGAGTGTATTGGGAAATAGTTGATTATGAAGCTACAAATAGACTTGGCCTAATGTTCTGTGTAGCAGTATAAATAGTAGTCATTCAATTCACCTTTTCATCCTGCTTCCTATCTGTTCCACCTTTTACCTTTCAATTTCTTCTGGTTCACTTATTTTTTTAAAAGTCTTTATTGTTAAAAGTATTACATATTTTTCCTCCATTGATCTCTAGCAGCCAGCCTCTGCCCCCCAGCCCAGGCCTTCAGCCCCCTATTGTCTGTGTCCACTGGTTATGTTTATATGCATACAAGTTATTTGGCTGATCTCTTACCCATCCCCCTGCCTTCCCTCTGAGGTTTGATAGTCTGTTTGATGCTTCTCTGTCTCTGGATCTATTTTTGTTCATTAGTTTATGTTGTTCATGATATTACACAAATGAGTGAGATCCTGTGATACTTATCCTGGAGAGCATTATGCTAAGCGAAATAAGCCAGTCAGAGAATAAGTATAGGCTGGTTCACTTTTGTTGTGAGCATCACATAAAGCCCTTAATGCTCTTGGTATAAAAACCAAATAACTAATACTAGGGGCTCTGACCTAAATAACCTGATTGCTGCTTATCTCTTCAACTTTACCTTCTGACCCACTCATCTTCCTCCCTCTCTGCAGGTCAAACGCAGTGGCTTTTTTTCAGTATCTTGGGTATGGCATATTCCTTCTAACCAAGGCCTTTGCATGTACTATTACCCTCCAAGTGCAACTTGCATATTATTTATTTGGAAAAGCCTTTCCAGATGTCCTTGAGAAAGTTATGTCTGTCAATTATGCTGTGAAGGCACCTTGTGCATTTTCTTTTAATGGTCACTGAAATGATAATTATCTAATTATCTGTTCAATCATTTGTTTAGCACCATTTCCCTCCGTCATATTTAGGGTTGTATAAGGAAAGGATCTATGTGCATTGTGCTCATAAGCTCACCACTGAAGTTCTAAAACAAAGTCAGCATATAAACATGCTATTGTTTATATCAAAAACCACCTCTCAATCCCATTTTACCCATTATCTACTGCTTCATTTCTCTATTGCCCTTTTTAAATCAACGCTCCTGAAAAGAGCTGTTTATTCAGAGTTTTCAACCCCTCTACTCCCATTCTCTCTTGATCTTACATCAATGGAGCTTTCACCTTAACTACTCCATAAGAACTTTTGTTGTCCAGGTCACCAATGACCTCCACATCACTAAATCTGGTGATCAATTTGCATTATTCATCTTTGTTTCATCATTCAACGTCAATTAAGAGGGTGAGTCACTCCCTCCTCTTTAAAAGACTTACCTCAATTGGCTTCCAGAATCACACACTCTTGGTTTTTACTCACCTTCCCAGTGGCTTCTTTTTAGACTCCTTTTCAAGTTCTTCCGTTGGAACCAGAGATAAACGAAAAATCAGAAAATGTTTGTTAAACTTCTCACATTAAGTTGGCAGCAAGTTTTGTTAAAGTAACAAAAAAAGTAACCAAATTTAAAGAGATGCTGATCAACATGGATGGACTTGGAAAATATTATGCTGTGAAATAAGCCAACCTGAGAAAGACAAATATCACATGATCTCACTTATTTGTGGAATCTAATGAACAAAAGGAATTGACCAACAAAATAACACCAGAAGCAGAGAGGTGTGGAACAGACTGACACACCTCAATGTGAGGTTGAGGGGACAAGAAGAGATAAACCAAAGAACTTAATATACTTATATGCATAGCCTATGGATATGGGCAATAGGGTGGTGAAGACCTAGGGGGTGGGTGAGTAGGGGCTGGGAGGAGGGGGAAGGGAGGAATGGAGGATTTCTGTAATACTATAAACAATAAAAATATATTTCAAAATAAATAAATAAAATTATTGGAAAATTAAAAAATAAAGAAAGATGCTGATCAGAACAAAAGTTTATTTCATTCAGGTAAATAATAGCCCTACTTAAAATGTTATGATTAACACTTTCTCACCAATATAGTTATTTATTATATTGAAATAACTACTTACTATAAGTAATTATAGATTGCTCCCTGATTTCATACTTTACCTATAATTAGTGACTTAATGTATTCTTTTGTCATTGTGTATTGAAACTCCTCCTACCCTCAGTGGAATCATTGTTCTGAAACCAATTTTCTTTTCTTTTTTATATATAAATACTTTTAATTCAGACCCTGTAAAGTTATCAGATGTTTGGAAAAAAAGTTTTTTAAACAAGAATCCATAAATCTTTTAAGATCTTAGCTATGAATGGGTGAGATTATTATCCATTTCATAAAGTCCCCCAAGTGAGTAACAATGTATAAAGCAAAAGGAAGGTCCCTCAGAGTTTGTAATTCTTTGTCTGCACAATCCTGTCTTCCTTGCTCAAGAAGTTTGTAGTCAATTTCAGAATCCATTCCAGGAGCCAACTTCTTTTCTTAACTATATTCTATTGATTTTTTACAGAGAGGAAGGGAGAGGGATAGAGAGTTAGAAACATCGATGAGAGAGAAACATCGATCAACTGCCTCCTGCATACCCCCTACTGGGGATGTGCCCACAACCAAGGTTCGTGCCCTTGACCAGAATCGAACCTGGGACCCTTCAGTCCGCAGGCCGACGCTCTATCCACTGAGCCAAACCAGTTAGGACCCAACTTCTTAATTTAGATTACAGGCTAACCATTCCGGGGAAAAGATACAGAGAAAAAAAAAACAAACAAAAACCACAAGATCGACAAGGATGAAGAGCCAAAGATGCAACCAGTGGGAATGTTTTGAAAATCAGTCCCTGGTTGTATTTTTTGGTTCTGCAGCTGCCTCTCCAGGCTTCATCCAAGCCTTGATACTCCCACCCAGGCCTCGTGGTTTTCACCCAATACTCAAGGCTTTACCCCAACCTCATGGCTCCCCACCAAGCCTAACCACTCCATAATCTTTCACCACTCCCTTCATTTCTCTCATGCCAGTTGCCAAGCAGCAGTCTGAGCATCTGGAAACCTCCTGAAAGCCAGTAAATTTAAACAAACTCTTCCCCAAGCCTGGACTCCTGTTTTATATTTATATAGTGCTTTCAAATTTACAAAGTAAATTAACAAAGAACTATATTGGGGTCAACTGCATAAAATAATTTAACAATCCAAAACATCCTAAGGAATAAATTAATTTTTTTCCTTCCTTGGTGTCCTTAAACTTTGATGACCAACCTAGAATGACGAACTAGAGCCTTCTGATGGCAATTCCAGACATTACTCTAAGACAGGAACTCAAAGCATGGTCTTGAGACCTATCGTGGCCTCCAAGATCCTTTCAGAGAGTCTGCAAGCTTCTTCTTTTTCCAACTATGTTATATGTGTGAGGTCTGATTTTCTTCAGTAGATACGGGAATTATTAAGTCAACATTAACAATATTTTAAAAGATAAAATAATATACCTCTGCTCACTAAATGTTTTTTCAATTTGGAAAATATAGTGACTTTTCATAAAGTATTATCTAGTGAAAATATAATGGTCTTATTGGTATTTTCAAATATTTTAAACATTTCTCAGTTTTAGTTTCTAATACTAAAAAGTTTTCTCAGATGTTATTTATGACATAAACAAATGCTCTTTAGGGTTTTTGATAATTTGTAATAATAAAGTGGAATCCTGAAATGAAAAAGTTTGAGAAACTTCCTCCAAAAAAATATTTCTTGACTCCAGACAAGAACTACTAAAAAACTTCTGTAGTCATGAACTTACTTTCAAGTTCGTGACAGGGGAAGGCGACCCAACCCCCTGATCAGCCCTGCTCTGTGCCTGATGGGGGGAGCCCCCCAACTCCCCCGCCACGGGCCCTGCTCTGTGTGTGAGGGGGTAGAGCCATAACCTCCCCATCGGCCCTGCCCTGAGTGTAACAGGGTGTGGCACCCCAACCCCCTAATCCGCCCTGCCCTGTGTGTGACAGGGGGCGGTGCCCCAACTCCCCTATCAGCCCTACTCTGTGAGTGACAGGGGGGGGCTCCCCCAC